TCAAGTCTTTCACCCATTTCCTATTGAGTGATCTGTTTTTTTTCCAATTTATTGTCAGTAATTAATTTTAGCAGTTATGCTCTGGACCCAAGTCTTTTGTTGATAACATGTATCGCAAACATTTTCTCTCACTCTGTGACTTGCCCTTAGATTTTTTAATGGTAACTTTAAGTAAACTTTCTTAACTTTAATATATTTTAAGAACAATCTTTCCCTTTAAGATTAGTGCTTTCTTTTTCTCTTAAGTCTCCTTTTCTTAGGGTCATGAAGAAACATTCATGATGTATTCTATGTGCATTATTGTTTTGCCTTTCACATTTATATTTATGATTCATGTATCTGATTTTTGTGTATAGTATAAAGGGAAGGTTCTTACGTTTTCATGTGGATATCTAATTGGCCCAATCAGTTATTTGTTTTTATTAACCTTTCCCCACATCCTCCAGTGTCATAGGTGTCCAGCAACTGCCTTGATCAGATTCCTTATACTGATCCATTAATCTATTAGGCTGTTCTTGTGCAAATACTATTCAGCCATATTAAGTGCAACTTCGTAATGGCCAATGATAAGGGTAGTTTACAACATCTGATTCTATTTTCCAAGACAAACTTGAATCAACTTGATGGTTTTCAGGATAAATTTTAGATTATAAATTTGAGAATCAACTCATTAACTTTCATATATGCACAAATGAAATGCATATACAAACATTCCTATGATTTTGTTTGGAATTACATTAAATGAATAAATCAATTTGGAAAGAATTGGCATCCTTAGAATTATTAACTCTCCCAGTCCATGTACATGGTAAAACCTTTTATTTATTGAAGTCTTTGTTAATTTCTGTAAATGTTTTATAATTTTCTATGTAGAGGTAATGTGCATAGTTTGCTAATATAATTCCGAGATATAAGTATTTTTATTCTGCTGAAATGGTATTTCAAAATTTTCATTTTCTAATCATTCCTTGTTAATAAATAAAAATGTTTATATAGTAACCTGATCTTACTGAATTCAATTTCAAATTTAAGTGTATTACTAAGAAATGCTTTTGAAGTTTATATATACATCATAATGTTATCTCTGAATGATGACATGCATTTCTTACTTTTCAACTCTTATATGTTATTTATTTCTTTAAGTTTGTTTGTCATCCTGACAAGAATCTACAGGTAAGCAAATGTCCTGCCAATCTTCAAGGCAGAAATTTTCAGTACTTCACCATTAGCTATGCTGTTTACTGTAAGTTTGTAAGTAGGCTATATATTTACATACTTGTGTGTGCTTCTCATTAGTGTCAAGAGATTTCCTTCTAGTTTATTTTACAATCAATCGCCTTATTCCAAATATCTGTTATATAATTTTCACATAGTGGGCTTTAAAAATATCAAATTTGGGCCCTCCCTGGTGGCGCAGCGGGTTAAAGCACAGCACTGAGAATCTAAAGCCGCTTCCGCATGAGTTCAATTCCCGCCTGCCCCGGAGGT